TTTTTGTTCTTATAACTGTTTTTTTCCTTCCCCTTTTTTTTTTTTTTTTTTTTTTTCTGTATATAAATGTCTTGTGATATCAATAATAAAATCTTTGAAATAGAAAAGACACTATTACCTGCTTCTCCTATCAGAATGAGAAAGTGATGTCACCATAGTGAGAGTACAGTTTCTGAAGTGGTAAATTCAACAGACTTGTCTCATGTTGTAGGTATCCTCCGTTCCCTCCAGCCCATACTGGTGTCAAGAACAGATCCTGATTCTAGAAAACACACAATCGATGAAATAACTAAGCGAGCAACATCACAAGGAGAGTGGCCACAGGTTTGACGTTTTGTATATGACCAATTTAGCAAATTTAGTGTGTTGCCTACCGAATTTCTTAAACTAAATTATATATTTGTTTTCTGGCCTTCAGTGCATGTATCACACATTTTTTCTGGTATCTTGTTTCAGTATCTTATTTAATTAATTCAGTTGAGGAGGTGTGAACAAAGTAACACAATTTACCTCACACTAACCCAGACAAATTTAAAATTTTCATAACACCGTGACATCCTGTCATGACTTTGTGTTGTGCTTAGGCAATCGCACAGATAGAAAAAAAGTAAAATTGTGAGCAGGGGCATGTCCAAACAGCTGCAGTCAGGGTATTCCCCATCCCGCAGCTGCACTTAAACAAAAGGGGCAGGATGCTGTTATTGTCTTTGACTTCATACGGCGAAATGGCTAGATTAGAAGAAGAAGCTTCCAGAATAACACCCAGGAAAGTTCCCAAACTATTGTTTAATTTCAAGCTTTTTTAATTAGTGTTATTATGACTGTACCATTATCTTTAGGAAAACTTCAGGAGGTGTGAATAGGTTAGACTTAAATGCTATCCACTGTCTCTTCCAAGTGGGTGGAATCATCTCTTAATCCTGCCATACAGGGTTCTAATTTCAGCCAATTCCTGCTCAGTTGACCAGAGTTTGAATAATGGGAGGCCCTGTTGGCACCACCCAGCTCCACAAAAGTTGATTCTCAAAATTGAAGCTGAGCGGAAAATTTGTCAGCCAATAGCGCCAGAGATGACCACTCAACACACACACACACACACACACACACACACACACACACACACACACATATATATATATATATATAAGTTCTACAGGTCGCTGCCCCACATCAGTCAGGGAGACTGTAATATCTGAGATGAGAAAGCAAAAACAAGGGGCGCCTTCCCTAGTGTAGATAATTTTTTATTTGATAAATGGCAAAACGTGGAATGATACTCACAACAGAGTAGGTAACATTGAGCTTTCAAATCAAAGGTTGATCCTCAGTCTTGGCAAAAAACAAGAGCAGCATGAGAGAGCTGCCCAAATGGTGGTCCCTGTGTGACAGCACAGTATGCCTGGGTTTACGCGTTTCCGGGGCATGGCCCCGGTTTTCCTGTTGTGGCCTTGGAAACGCATAAACCCAGGCATACTGTGCTGTCACATAGGAACCACCATTTGTGCATAAACCCAGGCATACTGTGCTGTCACATAGGAACCACCATTTGTGCAGCTCTCTCATGCTGCTCTTGTTTTTTGCCAAGACTGAGGATCAACCTTTGATTTGAAGGCTCAATGTTACCTACTCTGTTGTGAGTACCAGTCCACATTTTGCCATTCATAAAATAAACATTTATCTACACTAGGGAAGGCGCCCCTTGTTTTTGTTTTCTCATCAGTGATTGCATCCCATCAGATGCAGCCACTGTTCAGGTATACAGACAGCTGTGGGTGCTGGTGGCACTGAATATAATAGCCCTCAGTGCAGATTTCTCTAATCATAACGTCTAGCATGGATGGGAGAATCAAAGTGATTTCTACACATGTATGGCTAGCCTTAGGTTAACAATTTAATTGTGTAAAGATTCCTTAAAAACAAATTACTGATGAGTATGTTTTAACATTCTGGTGGCTATTTATAAATATTTCACCCAATATTCACACATTTTTTAATTTAAAATGTAAATCATGGGTACAAAATATTTAAAAATGGAGTTACAACTAAAACAGAACCACTGCTTTTCAGTTTATGAATGCATTTTTATTGATGCTTTTAACTAACCATCTATGAAAGAGCCCACCACAATGTAGGAAAAGGATTATGGAAGAAAATCCTAAAAAGAGAAAACAGTCTAAACACATTTTATCAATTGCTGTTGCTGTGTGTGCATAGCCACTGTTACCCTAAGGTTGAACTGAGATTTTTCTTTTTTAACTGTTTTCGAATAAGAACATTGGAATAAATCTTTTTAAAACTTTATATGATTTTGATTTTTCCAGAAGGTACCTGTACAAACCGCTCCTGTTTAATATCATTTAAGCAAGGTGAGTTTTGGGAATAGTAAGACTGTTTATTGAATTATTTTAACTTTGCTTTGCTGATGATGGTGTTCAAAAGAGTGCGTTTTTTATACAATGCCTTCCATTTATCATTATCCTACTATATTAAAAAGTTGAGCTGTACCTTTTACTGTAATCAGCAAGCATTGACCTGCAGGATAAGGCTACTCCCAATTGCTGCTGAAACTGACAGAACATCCTAATATCAGTAAAGGTTGTGTCTCCCACGTAACTTAGAAACATTATTTAGCAGAATCAGAAGTCTAGCAGGACAGAAAATACTCCCTAGGTTGGCTCTATACCTTGCTGAACCCCTTGTAGTCATTGTTACCAATTTACATTTTTAAGCACCACTGTGACACATCATATGGTCATTTTACTCCTGCTTTCTTCTAAACACAAAAGTAAAATAGAAATATGGACATGTTAAAATGTGTAGATTCATATATAAAATGTTAGGGTAGTTAAAGAATTTTTTTTTTAAATAAACACTTACCTTTACTTTCTTCCAATGTGTAAACTCTGAATGCACAACAGCTGCATCACAAGTAGATAATTTGCAGCATGGATGAACTATCTACCACGGCAAACATATAATAATGAAGGATGCTTAAGCATCATGTATTGCATCAGTGCCATATACTGCAGAGGTATCCACAGTGTGCTGCTATGTATAGGCAAATGGCATGCAAATCTAAGCCAAGGAAAAAAATATTTGGCAGCTTACTGGTTCTTGGTGGGATTAGTTCTCCTTTCTTTTCCGTTTTTTTGTTTTTTATTTTATTTTGACCTGGTAATCCAACCAGTAACAGACTTCTGGGGCTCGCTTACTGTATTGCATCTCTGGAGCATTGTCAGCCTAGTCTTATTTAGACTACAGAACACCTAACATTTTCCTCATCTCTAACATTGGGTGGAAGTGTTCTGAAGGTCAGAGGTAATTGGGGAGGGCTGATGAGACTACTTAGAATTTTGGTGCAGCAGAGGAACTGTGTTTTAAACTCCAGGAGGTTTTAAGCTGACTGGATTTCTAGCAGGATCGACAGGTATTTTTTTCATTGTATAGTTTACATACACTTTAACTATACTAATAGAAAACAGTATTTCAGTTCAGTCCCATCCTCCAGTTGTTGACTTAATTGTTAATTACCTATCAGTAATTGATTAAAGGCTTATCATTTTTCCTATGAATCGGTAAATGGATGAACCATTTAGAGCAGTGGTTCTCAACCTTTCTAGGGCCGGGACCCCTTGGAACATTTGCCAAGTTGAAGTGTAGAGGCCTCCCAAAATTAAATGCTCTAGCTCCACAATAAACTATTTTTTTCACATTCCTTGAGCAGAAACAACAGACCAAAGATACAGAGAGTTTTGTTCCTTCAACTTCTGAATGGTAGGACCTTGCTCAGAAAAGAAAAAAATAGTAAACCCTAATACATCTATTTTTTAAAAAGTGGTAAAGGGTCCAAATTATTCTGACCTATTTACTGCAATAGGTATAATTTTTATACATTCATCAATTCTATTTAGTACTATTTCCTTTTAATGTTTAATGCTATTTATCATTACCACCTAGGTGCTTTTTATCCTGCAGTCCCTGTACAACCCATTATCCTACGATACCCAAACACTTTGGTAGGTATTTTAATATACTTTCTACATTAAAACCACCACTGTTATGTTAGAATTTACCGTATTTTGCGTTCCATAAGACGCACCAGACCATAGGACACAGGGAGGTCCGGTGCGCCTTTATGGAGCACTCGACAGACTGTAGCTTCTGTCACAGCTTCTGTGACAGAAGCTGCAGTTAGTGACCGCTGAGACAGGTGAGGCTGTGATTACAGCGCCACAGTCTCAGTGATCACACAGAGCAGACGAAGAACGTCCGATCTTGATCACCACCGCCGTCGCCGCAGCTTGGTTTTAATACAAGGGATCTAATCATATCACTTGTAGTAAATGAGCAGTGGCTCCTACTGTACATTTAGCTCTGCTTCCCCCCCCTTCCTTTTGGGGAAAAAAAGTGCGTCTTATGGAGCGAAAAAACGGTAATTCAAACAAATGTTGACAAAAGTCATATAAAAATGAGACTGTTGCCATGCTAACCAGTAACCAGTTTTTTTATTTCAAAAAATGGGTATTGATTATGATTTAACTTCTAACTTTTTTCCCTAGAGAAAATAGATTTTGTACTTTTTAGATTTCTAGGAATGAAAAGTCAATGATCTAGACTATATTCTAGATTACAATAAAACTGTTTAATCTGAACAAGGTACCTAAAGCAATGCAGCATCACTAAGATTCTATAAAGCAATTTGAGATGACATTTTCTTACTGTTATTATAATAGACAAACACTGAAGGGTTTTCTAAAGTGAACTTATTTAAGGGTTTGGTTAGGATGAATTTAGGATAATTTTAGGACTAGGTTAAGTGTTAGATTTGGGGTAAAGTGTTACAAAGTTAGGTTGAAAAAAGACACATTCTCATGGAAGTTACAAACACCTGTCCAAAACTTAAAGCGGACTAACCCATTAAGGACTCTATCTCTGCCAAGGCCTTTTTTCATTTTTTTTTGCACACATGGCATAATCCACATTTTAGGCCTGAAAATTATTTATAACCCCCAAACATTATATATATAAAGCCAAGACCTTGTAGAATTAAATGGTGGGAGTTGCAAATTTTTATGTTGCAGAATATTAGCAAAACTCTTTACCAAACCCAAACATTTAGTGAAAAATGCACTTAAGCTGAATTTAGTGCCCCAAAACACAATATAAATTTTTGTGTAAAATATAAGAGATAAGGTTACGACAAGTAAATAGAGACCCAACATGCCCAGGTTAAAAATTGTGTAGGTCTGTGAAACGGCGACAAAATTCAATACTACAAAAAGTCCATAGACGACGCTTTAAAAGCCCCTACACATTATCAATTTAGAGATACGCATAAATATTGGCCCTCTAATACTTTCTCTCACTGGCGTGCGCGGCGATACCCTGTATGTGTATCTCGATTATCATTTTCGTATGAAGGCGCATGCGTATGTGAATACGCGCATGCTCGCGGGCGACCAACATTTTTGTTTCATATTTTTACATTTTATTTAATTATTTTTTTAAGCTTTTTGTTTTACTTTATTGTAATTGCTATCACATAGGGGGTTTACAAGCCCCCTATGTGATAGCATATTGCTGGGGACAGGTCCTCTTTAGGGTGATACTGGGGGCTCAAAAGACCCCTAGTGTCACCTTTCCATTTTAACTAACCTATTGAAGTGCAGATCGCGCTTCAATAGCTTTTTGATCGGCTTCAGGAGCCAAGCAATGACAGCTATGGGACCCAAAGTGATGCAATCCGCATCGCTCCTGGTCCCATAGAGCGGGGAGGAGATTGGTGAACAGACCCCCAGATTCCCGCCGACACCTGAGATGCTGGTCCCAGGCTCGCAGGAGGGGCAGCGGAGCCCCGGAAACACGGCGGGGGTGTAGTGGGGGTTGGCGGGCTTTTTACCAGATCGTAGAAGCACCGCAGCACACAGTGCACACCTCATGCTATTGGCTCCTGGATGGGGAAGCCTCCTGGTTGTCTCGGCAACCTGTATAAATCCCAGTCAGAGACCTGGCTTGTTGAGTTATTCTACCTCCTATGGTGCGATCGCCCAGCCTCTTGTGTTTTGAAACTGCTGCCTGACCCTTCTTCTGAATTCCCGGTTATCGACTCTTTGGCCTGCCTTCCCATTTTTGCACCTAGCTGCCTGCCTCGACCCGGACTGGACTTGATTACGCTTTTTGGATTCTCCTCTTGTACCTCGATCTCAGACCTTCTTGTCGTTCCTGCCAAGGGGTTCCACTCGCGGCCCAGACACAGTACTACAGTATTGCAGAAAGTCAAGAAGACAAGCTATTTTTCCTACAATAATTGTAATTTTTCCACACAAGGGCTTGCAGTGAGAAAAAGAGTGTTGCATATATACAGTATGTTGGTTAATAACATATTAACTATTTTACTGCAGTACAACAAGCCCTTTTAAACACAACACACTTTAAATGTAAATTAACTGGTCAGTTTTGGTGCCAAGTAGATAAATTGTCAGAATTACAACATGGGTTGGGATTGAGTCTCAGTCTCCAAGGCCTATTTTGTATCTGAGTTTAAGCTCTGATGCCAAAAAGGACAGCCAATCAGTCAAATAACTTAAAGTGTATTCATACCCAGAAACAAAAAATGCAATATAATTCAGCTTACGAGTTCTTGATGTGGTAGCGGTATTAGTTTAATTTTTTAGGCTTTTTTCCCTTTCTGTTATTTTTCGACTTCCTTTAATAGACAAAGTCCAGTAAAAGAGGGTTGAGACAAACCATTTAACAGTGACAGGGGTGCTTACAATGGTTAGCTTTTATTAATTTATGTAAAACCTTTATCCCAAAAGATAAAAATGAAGACTTTTCTGTAACTGCTTAAAATGTGTTAGCTGGAGTACAGATTGAGTTGGTTAGTCAATTCTAAATTTGCTAGTGCATCTCACATTACCCTCTCCACAGGGGAACAATGCTGTGGTCCAAGGGTGACTCCATTGCTCCTCCAGAGAATGGAGCCACCCTAAGACAGGAGGTGTGTTACAATTAAGGATTGGTAAAGTGCAATATATTACATTTTGTTTGGGTTTAGATAAGCTTTAAAAGGCAGTACATGGGCTTTATGACAAGCCCTCACTGACCTCTATAGCAGCAGTCACTTTTGAGTAATTCATCAGAAGCATTGAAGTCACTCCAGTTGTTCTCTCAGCAGCTCTGCTCCCCACTCCAAGCAGGGACTTTGCAGAATTTTAGCCTTCTTACTTTTAATACATGGTTAAAGCAGTTTCTCAGGGAGGGGGAAACAGGGTGAGCTAAGCTACACAGGGAATTACTTGAAACTTCTACTGTAAACATTGAAGATGATTTGCTCCACAGATTCTGCTGCTATAGAAGTCAATGTGATCTTGTTTTAATGTTAATTTACTGCTTATTAAGAATTAAAACTATCTTGCTTGAATAAAGATAAAAGAAAGTATCCATGACCATGAAAAGAAAACTGTTACTACTTACATGTTCTGCCACTTGTGCCTCTGATCTTGAAGATCTACCATGGCTTCAAAATAATGAGCATCCAACACAATTCTGATTGTTTTAGATTCCTAGTCCCTGCTGCACTCTGGGGTTTCATTCACTGACTCCTCTGTAACTACTGTGCTTTGTAGAGCAAAGATAGGCAGTGTGTTTTTTTTTTTTAAAGCACAATAGTGTGTTGTATAGGTGAAGTAAGGGATTTTTGTTTTCTGACTACCATTGTTCCTACTTTTTTGCTTCGGAAATATGGATTACTAACAGATCTTGTTGTTTTAATATTGTAATTGGTTTCCTCTGTGTATGGTCAAATTAACTGTTTCTGTTCTTTTCATGCAATATTATTTATTTCTCTGCCTTAGGACACAGTCACCTGGACTTGGCAAGGATTTACAGTGTAAGTCTCAAATCTAGAAATAAATGAAGGCACTTAATCAATCGTAAAAAGAGAGTTATGCATTTGTAGTGAGGATTTTTAAGAGTAATATTAACGTTCAGTGAGCTGCTTTTCTTATTTCTGCAAAAATATGTATACGTTGGTGGGCTTTTGTTCACTTTAGACAAGTTTTGCATTCCCATACGAATCTATGGGGATGCAACACCTCTATGAAGAAGTTTAAATGCAGGTCAGAGTGAGGTCAGCTGTCTGTTAAATGCACATTTTAATGAATATTGAATGTTCTCAGAAGCATCTCAAACTGATGTCAAACTAAAGCCATCAATACAAGCCGTAAATATATTTATTGTATGTAATTCAATTGACGTGCACAATAACTGCTAAACATTTTAGTTTCCCCAGTAAACAATAAGCAGTTATGTATATAGTACACATTACAACACGTAACATAACAGCTGCACTGGTGGCGTGATATTGGGTACCACGTTGGACATGTTCAATATTTGGCTTTGTGGGTTGGTATTACTGTTAACATTCACAAATAGATTAAGATGTGCCACGCTGAAGTTCTAATTTGTGTCTGAAATTGAATATATGAAAGAATAATCATAAGCTAAACTATCTAATCTATAATAATCAATAAGCAATAAAGATCACGTTCTAAAACGTCAACTCATATTGTGAGAAAGTTAATTTAAGTGAATAAATGTATCACCTATGAAGCCAACATTAAGTGAGTAGTAGAATAAAACACAGTGATACTTCAAACAAGTCTAACCACCAAATATGAAGTATTAACATATAAAAATAAAGTGAAGAATCTTATAATTAATCAATGAAGATTCATAAAGTTTGTTGTTGTGTTCATAAAACTGTGAAAAAATAGTTAAACATCAAAAGAAAAAAAATACCCACCAAATACTATTGGAACAGTCCTAGTGTAAGAGAATGCTTTCAACAATAAACAGAGAACCGCTCCTAAGAAAAGCCCTTCTGGAGTGCTGCTTACCTTTTTAAAAGACCTACTGCCAGGTCTGAATAGCACTGTCCCTCCTGTTACGGGCAGGAGGGAAACCCACATAAGCTTCCTTAGACTTTAGCGTCACTCTCTTTCATGAGCATATCACCCACAGAGATAAATCAGTCAGTTCCAGGACAAGTGTACTCGAAAAAACATGTGGCAAAGAGAAAAAGCAAATAGTGCACACCGTTTTGGTAATAAAAGCGCACTTTATTAAAAAATACCCACAGGGTACACAAGAAATAACCGTTTTGAAAAGAAAACCCGCTATAGCTGTTTGCTTGTAAAAACAAAGTGTCCACCGGCATCTCTAGTTCCACCCTAAGCACATTGCGTCCTTTACGCGACTTTGTCAGGGGTATGGAGCAGAGCAAGCCGATACGTACATATATTCATCTGAGTATCCATAGTTACCCATAAACAAAGCGGATATTAGAACTCAATAAATCTCTTAAGGGGACCCTGGTGAACATATATATATAACATGCATGGGCAAACAGTTTCTTGGGCCTCCCGGGCCCCCCACCAAGAAAAAAAAAAACAGCACACATAGATCATAGACTTCTCTCAACAAAACTTTAATAATGTAAACATAACGAACTGGTTCAGAAACAAGTTCTTAGCTTGATCTGTAACAGTAGGTACTTGCCAACTGTAGCCTCTTAGTCTCACTCCTCCTGAGATCCGGCAGACTGCAGGATCTGTGGGGGGCTGTGCCAGATCTCAGGGGGGCTGTGCAGGATCTGTGGGGGGCTTTGGAGCCTGCAAAACCCCCCACAGATCCTGCAAAGCCCCCCTGAGATCCGGCAGACTGC